GTGTGTGTGTGTGTGCGTGTGTATGTGTGTGTGTGCGTGCGTGTACGTGTGAAACCATATATGTGTACTCAAATACTTTAAATCGTCATACGAATTGTACCTGTGGCACTGCCGCTTGAGCTCCAACATCCAATCCGAGTAGATTGGGATTCCGCAAAAACGCAGATGCAATTGCAACAGGCACACCAGCCAACAGTCGAGGTACATCGAGCTCCCCACAGTGTGTGCTCTTTCCATCGTGACTTATCACATGATCTTTGTGATTATTCTGATTAACTTGTTGCTGTGGGTTAATGCCTACTTTTACTCCAGTAGAAGCCGTGGTAGTGGTCATTGTAGTAGATGACATAGTTTGAGTGGCCGCAACAAGTGCCGAGCTTTTAGTTAGAAATAGATTAGTGTACGAGATAATTCGCGTGTAGTACAATTGCTTTGTAATCAACATCAAAGCTCAACACAATCACCATCAATACTTTAATCTTCGTACACGGATCCCTTTTCTACTTGTGTGTATTTACTATTTAGCAACAATTGAGGTCTCCTCGTGAATTTTAGACTAAACCCAAAACCCTAGATCCAAAACCTTAAACCCAGAACCTGTTCAATTTTGACGGCTATGCAGAACCTTGCTTTGAATTTTGAAACCACGAGAAGAATGTAGGTTAACTAGCTAGACCTGAAATAACTTCAATATATATAAATAATTATTCACATACGGCTCGGTACGGGTGATCTACTTCATGACATTCGCGCGTGGTACTCTAGCGTATTTTTCTTCTTCCTGTATGTTTATCACCAACAATGCGGGGCGTGTGGTAGCAGTCTGGCACGCATCACTACGGTAGTATGCAACACACAACACAGTGCAACTACGGTAGTACGCATCACACAACACAGTGTAACTACGGTAGTATGCAACACACAACACAGTGTAACTACGGTAGTATGCAACACACAACACAGTGTATCTACGGTAGTATGCAACACACAACACAGTGTATGCACTGCTAGGACATTCTCTAGAAAACATTATGGTAGAAACTGTGTAAGCCCGCAATTGAATACAAACGGATCATCTCACACTTCTGGGCTATGAATTAGAGTGCTTCACTTTTGTTGTATCTTCGGGTTTGTGTTCCTCTCATATATACGAAAGTTCTGTGTGCACATGTATATGCATACACGGTGTCCGTGTAGATATGTAATAAAGCGTGGATTCGTTACTTTTATTCATCAAGGCATATGATCCACATGCAACCGTCCACGCAGTCGGAAGTGCGGCTGATAGATTAACATTAAATGCATAATCAGTACCTTCTCATACTAATATCTGGGTTTAAATAACCTTGGCTTAGTCAGTGTACGTTGTATATATGACGATTGAACTTCGATGCCGGATTATTATCACTACATATTACTTTCCGGGTGTACACATCCCATCTGCCCTCGGTAGATAGGATACTCCTATCGGGCCTATTACAGGCATAAACTGACGGTCACGCTATCTTTTCATACACGGCACATAACATGTTACACATAATTGTGACTAGGTTGTTCCTATAACACAGCAACAACCTAAGACTTTCCCTCGATGATTGCATCGCCCATGGCGTGAGACACTGCCCAAGACACACTAGTACGCACCCCCAATCGATTAACACACATCTCGGTAGTAAGTGGCCTCCATCCCAATAGTCCCAGATCGGCGCAGACACGTGGCTGTGGCCTCCGTTTTCGAGTTTTGAAGAATACACTCATTGCTGAATCCTCTCCGCATCACATGGCCCCGTCACTTAACGGGTCGGTCATAGCACAGCTCACTACTCACCCCCCCAACGCTCGTCGCGCAGTGGTCACGAGCCTGTCGTATTGCGCCAAAGCTGTAGCAACATCACATCGGCTGCCAAATCCATTGGACTATACCATCAGGAGACCACAAAACATAGCGTTGGTAGAAGGTAACGCAGATGTCGATCCAAATAGTGGCGCCCATGAACCGCCGAGTGAGTTGCTCGGCACAAGGTGCGTGATATAGCACTTGATCTCCGCAACGATGTGTTATTTATAGGCACTAGTATAGATAGGGTTTAGCCCGCTCACTGCTGAGGCTTTTCCCTCGCGGCTTACAATACCATCTCTCCAGGATGCCGGTTGTAGGGTATAGGGCTCCAACGCCAGAACTCCAGACACCAGGCCTCTTGGTCACGTCCACCCCCGACTTTACGTATTCCCATTATGCGTCGAATATGGAGTGTTCGCGTATATAGCTGGATGACTGGATATTACCGCGCGAGACAGCGATGCTGACCAACTATGTCTAGGTATGGGAGTGTCCATATAGCCTCGTATGAGGAGAGCCCTTACGACTCCTCGGGTACTCGAGTGCAAAGATACGCCCGCGAAAGCCTTGGCAGGGACGTTCGCGTGCCTGTGTCGGGCTCGGCTATGCACGTGACATTCCGTATATCATGAGGATGGGCTTTGGCTGTCCAGAAGCTGAGGGGTGTGCGGCGAACAAAGCCGTGACACGCACATCCAAACTCCGACTTTCAGGCTCCATCAGCGGCGCTCGTACTATACAACACTGCGGACTACCGGCGTACTTCGACTGTAGCACAATATAAGTCACTCGCGACTAAGCACAATGCTGGGTAGCTGATGCCGAGAGTTCAGTGTAGTGCACCAGAAAAAACGTTCTTCTGAAAACTGCAGCGGGTGCGCGATAGAGCGGGGTCGTCCGAAATACGTTCAAGGATCATATACGATATACCATCCTCAACATCAGCAAGCAGTAGGCGGCCACACAACTTGGCACACATGCGTACATTAACTGGGGAACAAAACACATCTCAGCCGTCCCCTCGAACAGGCAAGGAAATTGCGCGGCAGTTGGTATGCTCCGACTGACCCTGGATATTAGTGGCGCAAATACGACCTAGCACACGCACGCGAACGAGAATACAGGCCTCTCGAACCTCAATAGACAACACATCAGGTCTAATGCATAGGACGTGGAGAGTCGCTATGGGGTATTCCAGCAGAAGTGCCTATTCAGAGCCAGCGGTTGAGCAGCACCATAGGTGACACTTCGGAGGACTTCACGAATACATTACCCTACCTACCCCAACCTCTCGGGAGAATAACCGGCACGCTCTTAGATGCATGCCTATACGGGCACAGCACCACACACGCGTTGTCGCACAGGCCTCTTTCCCCTACAGACGCGTATGTACGCGCTATTTCAATGTCATCCTATGTGTTTCCTCATTCGCGACGTTACTTCCGGCGGTGACGTGGCTTGCGCACATCATTGAGGTTGATTTCGGGTGCCACCGAGGTCACAAACGCGTCGGAGCGGCTCACGTGCACGCCTAATGCGGTCGTAGGGTCATAGGAAAGGCCTCGGTTGAGCAGCAGAATGGCATACATGGACTCAGACCCACTGGCCTGTGTGTGCTGGAAGGTGGGGATAGCACAGGGATGATACGAGGAGGTGGGTTGAGAATAGGAGTAAGGGACTTGAGAGTATGGGCAAGAGGTATAAGGTTATGAGGAAGAAATATGAGAATATGGGAACGGAACATGACAATATGATAGATATATAACGAAAGGCAATGTGGCTTCACGCAGAATATACGTAAGTGGAGAGTTGCCGCGAATCTAGAAAAGGACGGGGAGAAGTTTCCAGCTCTGTGTAGATATTCAGCAATCATATATGCTTGAACGAGATGGGCCTATTTATAAGCCACAAACACGTTTGTTTGCAGCAGAGGTGAGCGACACACGCATGTAAAGCAGGGTTACGAACTATTCAGAACCATGCAACAACACACTCAACTATGGGCGATCAGAGCACTTTGAGTATGTCAATGACGCTCGTATGTATACGCACTATGCTTGGCTTGAAACCCCAGAGCAGAGCAAACCCCATTCGAAGATGTTACAACATACTCCACATTAAGCAATCAGAACTCAGAGCCAACACTTCCAGTGTACGAGTAAACACACATGCGTGCACGATACATACCTCCACCTTGTCTGCCCGGGACTTCAGCAGATCTCTGGCGCAGGCCACCACGCCCCGCCAACACCTCTCCTCCACAGTGTCCTGCGTATCCGCGTTATACCCACCCACGTTGTTACTACCTCCACTATTACCACCCATATTCCCCATCGCATTGCTGCTTAGGCGTGCATTGGCCTGGGGTTGCACCTGAAAGTGCTGGCCATTGGTCTGCTGCATGTTCTCAATCCAGCGACTGGCAGCCATGATCTCCTTGTGGCTCGGCTGTACCGATGTGGCGTAATTAGGCCCATTCCCAGACCCCCCACCACCTCCACCCTGATCGTCCATCCCAATACCAAACCTCCCGCCTCTATTATTCCTGTAATCCCCCTGCCTATCCGAGGTCTTCAGCATATCTAACGCAGCCACTACGGCACTCGCAATGACCACAATAAACCGCTTCTGCCCTATCACAGCGTTCAGATGGTTGCGTGAGTACAGCACTACGTGCAGATCTGGCACTACGTACAGCGTATACTGATATTCTAGGCCCGAGACCCCATCGTTGACCCCGCTACCGCTCATCAGGACCCCACCATTCCCGTTATTACCACCTCGCCCACGGCCAGTACTACCCACGCCTGTCCCGGTATCCATCCCGATATTCCCCTGCGACGGCTGCCCACTCTGCGGTTCTCCCTCTATTCTGCTATTAGACTCCGCATGGCCGACCTTCTGCTCCAGGCTATCCACCACAGCCAGCAACCGCTGCTTGCCCATGGCCTTCATGAGTGTCTCGCGCTTGCTCTCTTTGGCTCGCAGGAACTCGTAGTCACCCTCGCGCCGCCACTCCCCTCCGCCAGCACCCTGGTGCCACACCTTCCTGTACCCATTGATCTCCCTGGACGCCTTGAACACCTTGATCGCCCCACTCTCCGTGCTGGCAGTCGTGTTGCTGATGTTGCTTGCGCTGTGGCTGTGGGTCATCTCGGGATACGCATTGCCACCACCGCCAGTACTATTCCCGTTGTTAGTAGTACTGCCCGTGCCGTTACCACCTCCATTCTCCAACAGAAACGCGCCGTAAGAGACCTTCGCCTGCTGCAGACTCTTGCAGCTGGCCGACGACCGACGGCTCAGGTTCACACTCCCAGTGCGGCTGCCGTTACCATGGTTACCGTCGTCACTGACTGTGTCTGACTCACTACTGTCGGCAACCCTGCCGCCTGCCTGCAGAGCGTCTGCCTGCCGTGTACTGGCTGAGACGGCCTCGATGGGGATCACCGTGTTCTGCGAATAAATATGGTGAGGGATTGCAACAAAGTTGAGAGCCCACCCGCTCTACCTATATACAGGCGAGTGATAATGTAGTTGCACATGAACTGGTCTCAGTGGGGGAAACCGGGCTCCGGGTAGTGGTTGGGAAGAAATGAATACGCGTGTGCGTGGGGGTCTGGGACTTGTACACAGGCAAGTGAGAGCCCAGCATAAAGGCAGGTGGGAATAGTACATACATGCAAGTGAGAGAATCGTAAAACTGAGTGGAGGTCCTGTTTGCACGGGAGACAGGAATGTCGTACACATGCTATTGAGAAGACTGTTCACATGCGCATGTGCATACTATAGACGTGCAATTAAGGATACACCGATCGGAAGTCGGGGGGAAAGAGTGGGCCAAAGTGCTCAAGAATGTCCGGTTTGGTACATGCTGTGCTTGTACACATACTACTGAGAACCCAATTAAGCAGTAGACTAACATACGGCAAAATAGAAGGCGATTGGACATAAGGACTCAGATTGAGTGCACGCGACTGAGGACAGCTTATGCCATACAATACCCGTTCTGTGAAATAGAGTATGCTCAACGTCCCTGCGAATGAATGTGTAGGCACCAGGAATCAGGTATACATACATCCCCATACATTTAGCACCCACGCACATGGATACAAAAGTGAAGTATTATTTATTTTTTTAGCATACACAGAATCCAAATCCAAATAGAACTAACACAGCAACAAGATACGATGTATCTTACATAAATAAAATAGAACCTGCACGTAATCACAGACATAGTATATACTATGTAAGCGCATGCATGCATCTGACGAACATACCGGCAGCGATGAGGCCAGCAGAGCAAACCCGTACAAGCGAGATGCACGATGCGTACGGAGATCACCCCCGGGCACTGTGGTTGTACATCTGTAGATTGATTGTAGATGGTTATGAATGAAACTGCGGGGCTGCACATCTGGAGTTTAGTGACAGGTGCATATATGACTGTACTTGTATATTAATACATTAAGGGGCAAGGGTTTATCGCAGGTGTACTGTGTGACTGTTTATGTATTAGAACTCCCCCTCGGCCACGAAGCATCTTTGTACTAAATCTAAACTAAAAATCGTATACAGTTGGCTTGTTTTCGGTTGCTAATGGCCGTATAATCAGGGGCATGATTGGCGCCTACCAGGCAAATATTCGACATTACACTATTTGAGGGGATGCAAGAACAACGTGACATGATAGCTATGCATCTATATATGTATATATAAACACTCTGGAACACCAATAGCATGTAGGCAAACATTGCAAATGGCCTGCAGCTACATGGATACAAATATCTGCTCATAAATATACATATATACCCATAATTTGGCATATACAAGAAAAAGTGGTAGAAACACATACGTCGTTTCCGAGGCCGGCAACCTGACGGTCTCAAACAGCGACCCCAGAGGCGAGAATCCCTGCAAAGCTATATCCTCCGGTAGCGCTGGCAACCGACTCTTATCGCGTCGTCCCAACGAGTTCTTCGTCGTGTGATGTGTCTGCAACGCGTTTTTCCACGCCGAGAAAAAGACCTCTCCTAAGGCGCGCATATTGGCGTCGTTGCCGACGTGGTAATTGGTAAGCCGCGCGATAACCGACCAGTCTGACTGTTGCAGACGCGACATGGTCTCGATGGTTAAGACGTTGCGACCTGGCGCGGAAAGAAGCGTCAGGAGCCATTCGAAAAAGATGATGACGGCTATGAGGAGATCCTCTGCATCGGGCGAGTGTGCTGTGGGTAAAGGAAAATAAATTTAATCTAAACAAACGCTGTATCATGCGTGTTTGTATTTGAATTCTTGATTGTTCACTAAACTATATGTCGTCTATATAAATTCACTCACACAATATATATATATATATATAC